AGGCCTTTTTTACTGCACAGCGTGCTTATCACCAGACTGTGCTGACAGCGATGGCACCAGCGGGTGGGTGAATAGCCGGCGCATTACAGGAGGGATAAAGGACGGAGACACAGTGTGGGACCCAGGGCCAACAAAATCCATGACGTGTTAGGAGGAACACCCCCCTCCTAGACCCACTGTGGTAAAACCTCGCACCACTGTCACTCCCTCTGGGCTTGCGGGGGTTAATATGTGGACCAGGGGGTAGAACTGGCTTCTCAGCATCACATCCATGCTGATGCTGGGATAAGCAGCAAGAACATCACCCCATGCACTTCCCTGCTTGCATCACTAACACCTCAGGCTGCACCACAGGCAAGAATCTGGGTGGTGCGCAGGAGGTGGGGGTATCCCTTTAAATAGCGTGGGTCCTCTAGCGGCGCTCACTGTGTTGTACGGGCCAGAGTCCAGCCGTGTGCGCACATGGCCAGGCCTTGCATGTTGTCAAGACCCCGTCACACCTTCCAGGCGGGCCCTTCATAGCAGCTGCACAGTACCACGAGCAGACGGCAGCAGTTTGGGACGCCCAGCTCCACCCCTCCTGCATTTGGCACCTTGTTTGCTTGTCTCCAGGTTCAGCCCCGGAGACTGACACGGCCGGTGCACGTCTGTTTGCAGCTGCACGCGCTGTCTCGTTGTTGGCATTGCAAGCGCCGCAGAGCCAGGATGCAGGCTTCTCCTTAGAGCATGTGAGCAATAATGCGGAGAGGCGTTTCTGCGGCCTCCGATTCCACACCGGCCTGATAGTTCAATGTGCCAGCGCGAGGCCAAATTGAAGAGGGCAGTGCCCCCTTCTCCTTCCTGCCTAGATCCACCACCCCAGGAATCATAGGATCCTAGAGAAGTGGGGCTGGAAGGGACCTGCAGAAGTCACATCTAGTCCAAGCCCTGCCTGAGGCAGGATCAGCTCTGTCCAAAGCAGCCCAGATACATCCAATGTCCAACCTCTTAGTAAAACTACCATTGACCCCAACACAGCACGAAGCATCACACCCAGCCCTGCCAAAGGGAAAGCAGGGGGACCACGGTGCCACGTCCTGCTGCTGCAAAGGGGGTTAATATACACTCCAGAGACCCCTGGCAGAGGCCGAGCCCCTGCTGCAGAGGAAGGCAAAACCCCACAGTCCGGACCAGTCTGACCAGGGGGAAAATCTCTTCTTGACCCCAAATACAGCGTCAGTCTGAGCCTGAGCAGAGGGGCAAGATCCTCTAGCCAGGACCCTCGGGGTTTGGTCCCAGCAGAAGTATTGGCAGGAGGACATAAGCGGTAGCTGGGGTCATGAGGCTTTCTGTGAGCAATGAGACCTTTGGACGGGAGCCGATGGGTGAAGGCAAAGTGTTGTTAGCACGTGCAGCCAGGGCTGGCTGCAAGGCAGGGGGCTGGGCACAGGAGAAAGGCAGGGAGAGGCGAGGACTCACCTCTGCCCCCATTGCAGCCTGCAGATGCAAACGAACTGCTGGGTTTGGGCACGAGAGCGCCGTTCTGTGCAAGCTGTGTGTGTGAGGGAGGGTTCCTCTGTGCATGAATGTGTGCATGTACATGCACGTGCGTGTGTGCACATGCAGGGAAATCCTCCCACCAGTCAGAGGCTGTGTGTGGGGGATGCTGCCTGTGTGTTCCCCAGGTCCCGCTTCCCCGCAGGGATGTCCCAAGAGCTGCAGAGCGTGTACATGCGTGTATGCATGTGTGCACATGCAGGGGGCACCTCACCTGCTGCATGCATGGCCCATTCTGGCCCTGTGTCTACACTGTGTTGGCCCACAGCCTGGGGGCTATGACCTCAGCTACAGCAGACAGAGCAGAGCATCCCCCTACTCTCCCTCCCTCAGGACACAGTGGTCCCACAAATGACACTTGGATATGCCTCTGGCCAGACCTGTGCTCCCCACAGCAGCAGAAGGTGTTTCCTCACCCCTGCCTGGCACCAGTCCCTTTCCAGAGCAGGGGCGCCCGAGGGGGCGAGACCAGACATACCCATAAGGGAACTGCACCTGCTTCCAGCAAAGCCGGGGAGGGGGGAAACTGAGGCACAGAGCAAGGCAGCCAGGAGGAGGACCTATGCATCCCACTGGCAGGGGAGGAGGCAATGCAGTGCTGCAGCCTTCAGGGAGCATCCGGAAGCACAGACGGGAGGCCGTGCCTGGCACCCCGGAGCTCCCATTCCGGTTTGACCAAGAACGCCGGCTGGGCTGGCTGGACAAGCCCTCCCAGCCCTGCCAGCCCGGTCGGGGGGAGAGAGAGCCTTGCAAGGGTGGAAGCAGGAGGACTGTCTTAGCCCCCTGCTCTGAGCTAGGCCAGGCTTTGCAGAGCTCTCCATTCATGCCCATCCCTTCGCCTGGGTTTCTCCTGCACCCATGAGCTCCGGGGCTGCCCGTTTGCCTGGGCCCAGCCTGATGCAAATGCTTCGAATGCCTTCTCTAGCCGCACTGCCCTGCACCCCGCCCCTGTGCCGGGAGCCCTTCTCCCCCTTGCCTGCTGCCCCCCTGGGAACCGGACCGTCTGCCTTTTCCTGTGCCCCGGGCTGTAACGTAACCCGTCCGGGGGAGCTGCTGCGGGCTGCGCTATTCGATCTATGCAGCACGCCCACCCCATCGATTCCTCCGGCCGCTCGCTGGAAACACATGCCCAGCTCCAGAAATAGACCAAAGGCCAAGCGAGCGCTCGGAGGGCCTGGGGCCTGGAGCTCAGGCCGGCCCCCGCGAGCTGCCGGTGCGCATACCTGATGCATGACGGCCCTGTGCGCAGAGGGGAGTGATTTCCAGTCGGGCCAGTGGCCACGCTGGGAGCCTTGGGAGCCAGCTGGCCGTTGCGCAAGCCGTGAGCAGAGGGGTCGACGGTGCCGTATGCAGCTCTGTCTGCATCTGCCCTCGTGCATGCACCCTCAGGGACCTGCCCCGGCCCACCACCCCTGGGGACAACAGGTTCAGGGGGTCATGGAGCACAGCCCCCACCAGAAACCACGTTTTTTGCAGAGGGAAGCAAGGAGAGAGATGCAAGAAGATTCAGCCCCCGGGACTCTGACACTTGCTGCGTGGATGTTCATAAGCAGCAGAACCTGCTGCTGCCTTCACACAGCCCCCACACCCACCCCCTGCAGCCCCTTCTCTTTCAGAGGATGCACGCGGGGTGCGACACCCCGCAGAGCCACTGCAAGGCCCTTCCCCGCACGATGCCCGGGGCTGGCTGGACGGGAAGCCAGGAGCATCGGTGACACGCGAGCGCTTTGCGCACAGAACCGGGGACAGCCACGGTGCTGCGCAATGCAGAGGCAGTGGCTCCAGGGAGGGGGCTGAGCCCTGACACACCGGGCCGGGGGGCTAAGCACACAGGGCTGTCTCTGTCTCTCTGGTATTTGCCGAGGAGCACAGCCAGGATCTCTGCGACGTCCTGGGTGGGAGTGTGCCAAGCCACGCAACCTTGCCACGGTCTCCCGGCACTGCCCAGCAGCCAGCTGTACGCAAGCAAGCAGTGGGCACTGGCTGCAAACACGGTCCCCGAGACAGTCATCCGGGCTCAGCACAGACCCCCCACAGCCTGCCGCCTCCTCTGGGACTCACAACCTGCCGAGCAGCAGAGCAAGAGGCCTTGTGCCCTCTGCTCCATGCAGCTGCCCTGCTGGGGTGCTTCCAGCCACGCTCCTGCCCGTTCCCGGGTGGGCTGGTCGGGCGTGGATAGGAAAAGCAGAGCACAGCCAGCCACGCCTGCACCCCCCTCGTGGGTGTCCGCAGGGGGCTGCGTGGCAGCCTGTCCCTGCACCGCCTGGCTCCAGCCCCGGCTCCTTTCCCCCTTCCACCGGCACAGCCGCAGCGCACCGCGGCTCCCCAGTTCCTGTCTCCGGAGGGGGCCCGTCTTCCCCTGTGCTCAGCAGGTGAACTGCATCAGCAGGTGAAGTGCACAAGGGTGTGCGTGAGAGAGTGTGACAGTGTGTGCGTGCGTACAAGTGAGCATGACAGTGTGTGTATGTGAGAGAGACAGTGTGACTGTGTGTGTGAATATGGGCTTGTTTGTATGAGAGTGTGACTGTGTGTGTGACAGTGTAGAAGTGATTGTGACAGTGTGCGTGACTGTGTCTGTGTGTGAGAACGTGATTGTGTGTGTGACAGAATGACATGTGAATGACTGTGTGCGGGAGAGAGTGCGCATGTGAGCGTGTGACAGTGTGTGACAACGTGTGTGACTGTATGTGACGTGTGTGTGACAGTGTGTGTGAGATACCGTGTGCATGTGTGTGTGTGACTGTGCACGTGTGTGTGCATGTGAATGTGCAACAGTGCATATAACTGCACATGGAATAGTGTGTGCATGTGATAGTGTGGGTGACAATGTTTGAATGACTGTGTGTGGGAGAGAGTGCACGTGAGCATGTGACAGTGTGTGACAATGCATGTGTGTGAGTGTGCAGCTGTGTGCAGTAGCGCATGTGTGCAACAGTTCCTGCCCTGCATGGTGTATCTGTGTGACAGTGAGCATGCATGTGTGCGCGTGTCACAGCAAGCAAGGGGAGGGAGACTCAGCTCCCGGGGAAGGAGTGAAATCAGTGCAAACCGGTGACCGGGCCCCAGCCCAGCTCCTGCTCCGGCCCCGATCCTGCCCACTGTCCAGCAGCCTCCCCTGGCAATACAGGCTGGGCCGCTGGCCGGAGTCGGGCTGCTGGAGGGGGGCCGGGGACCCTACGCCGGCGGTCTGTGCGGGACCAGCCAGTCCTGCACCCAGGGACAGCACGGGTCACTAGGGCCGGGCAACCCCGTCTTGCAGAACAATACAGCGCCTGGACAATGAGCTGGGAGCTGTGCGCGCTCAGGGGAGTTTGCAAGCGGGGCAGCAAGGGGACGCGTGGGGCAGGGTCCTGATCCCCCGAGACCCCTCCAAGTGCCAGGGGAAAAGCGGGGGGTGGCTGACCCTGCCACCCGCAGCAGGCAGGCCGTGGGGAGGGGGGACGTGATGCCGGGGGGGCTCCTACCTGCTTGAACTGCTCCTCGTAGGTCCACTCGTGGGGCGGCGGCGGCGCGGGGGACAGCGGGCCGGGGGCGTCCGGGCAGCGGGGCGCCTCCTCGTCCTCGTCCT